GAGCAGCGCCAACAAGCGACCGAGGTGAATCCGGCCGTGCTGGTGATCCGTCATGGGCTGAGAACCAGAAATTGGAACGTCGCAACAGATCTCGACCATCTATCCGTAGACGGAGAGTCTCCGCCTCATCCTCGCACGCATCGAATAGCGGGCGAACGTCGTGATGCGACAACGATTGGACCAGAATTCGCCTCAAACGGATTACTTGAGTGGTTGGAAACACATCATTTCTGCAGCTGCCTAATGGTCAGCTGTCTCCCTTGCACGATTCGAGTGGGTGAGAAAGCGTCACGCCTCTCCCGGGGTACACAGACATTGAGCCAGTCTGAGGGCAAAAGACCAGGGCTGAGGGGGCACACCGCACGCTGCCTACGCTACTCTGCCACTCCCGTCGCCCGGCATTTACTATCAACGTCTATCAATGCTCGATCTGGCGTGACAGGCTGACAACATCTCGGACGAGGGCCACCTTCAGTCTGGGAATGCCGAGCCTCCTTGATGTTACAGCTATCTTGACCAACGTTCTGGAGGCACATCTCCCTGCACTCCATGTGTTGCCCCAACCTCACCCCATGTCAATCCATCTTGAGCAGTCACGGACTGATACAGGAACCATAGGCGCTTCAGACCCCATTTCGTGAAGTCGTGCGGTCACTGCGGTCTAGACTCTAACTGGAACCGAGCTTTGACACGGCTCACTTCTCACCCATCACGTTGGCGGTTATGCGACCAAGGTATCCGTACTTCTGTACAGATACGGAGTACATCCTGCCCAACTTCGCCTGGTCGCCTTGCCAGCTGCCGTCGTATGTTTACATTGGGTTCAGATGTAGCTTTTTGCCAGAAGCGCCTAATCAGCCATCGCTCAGCAGCAAGAAGATCCGTCAACCGAGCTATTCTCATTGATCCGGCAAAATAGATATTCGCTGCTGCTGCTGCTGCTGACGCTGGGCGATGGTCAACAAGTAATCTCCCGTTCGTTCATGGCCGAAGGAGGACAGAGACGCGTATGCCTCTGAGAGACCATGAGCAACTTCCGCACTTTCCCGGGCAAAAGTCAAGACAACAGCGTTTGCTAATAAGTTTGGGAGAGAATCCGTGTCTTGCTCCCAAAGCGCAGGACACAGACGTTCTCGCACGGAGGACGTCTGATGTCTGCTGAATTCTATCTTGTTGCGTCTATGGCGCATTCCCGTCCCAGGACGCTCCCGCACGTCGTGCGATCGACATACGGCCCATCTTCTTTTGTCACCAGGCTGAGGGCTCCGGTCTCTTTCGGCCTTCATAGGCTCTAAACGACACGAAGAGAACGAATACCGGGATTCATGATATCTCTCGAGTTTCTCGCCAGACGCGGCTCAAAATCAGTGGCACCGTTACACTCTCAATACCTACGCGCCCGTTCCAATTGTTCCATTTCCCGATTCTGCAATCAGCTACCCCTCTACCCCGGTCGCAAGAAGGGATCTCCCGCATCTCTCTCGCGACGAATGAGGACCGTTTTCTCGACTTCTGCTTTCCCATTCGGCGCATCGCAAACCCCTCCATCCTCGAAAGCTAGCACCACGCCACGATCCCTTCCCCTCCTTCTTCCCCTTCTCTCTTACAGTCTACTCGTCCACTGCGCTAATCACCCGGTCGTAGTGGATGGATGTCTCTTGTTCCTGGCGCTTGAACTTTGAATGACGCGGGGCGCCCCCAGACAAAGCCGGCGCGATTTATTAACGGTTGATGAACGAATGCGCCGACGCGTCGAGTATTAATTAGTCTTTCTAGGAAGCCCGTAGCCGCGCTTTTTGTTGGTCATTTCTGCTGCTTGCACCCCGGCGCGCGTGATGATTCGTGCTGTCACCCGTCTTTCCGGGTGCGCCGGCGAAGCTTGCTTTCTTGTATTATGGTTTACGGATATCTACGGCGCTTGCGATGGACCGTTTTGCTCCCGTTTAATGGCTGCAGAGATGTCACGAGATACCATGGTGGCCATCTCTTATTCCAAGGGTCTGTTTACCGTGATGTCGGTACCTTTCTCTGCCGATATCCACATTGGACGCCTGCTACTGTGATTGTGACAGATGTCGGTTTTTGGATGGACATAGAGACGTCTAGTTGGGCGTGATCCCCAACCTACTAGGGGCTAATCGCCGTCTTGTGATCGTAGAGTTGTACCCTTTTATCATACCAGCCTTTGTATGCCATGTTTTCTCTGCGAACCAAGACCCGGCGATCGGCTGCCGCTGCCAGGTTTCTGATTGTTACAGCGGACCCGGGCTTCACGCCGACAGGCGATCAGGTTTCCCGGCACCCGGCCTTTTCCAATGACTTTACTACAAGCACGGCCGATCTACTCGTGCCCGCCCCCACTTTAATGGGCATTCGACACTCACCACCCACTAAAGTGGGTGCTTTTCAGCCAAACGGCCACGTCGCCCAAACGACCACAATTATCCCGATTTACCACCATACATCGCCACCACCACAACAATCCACCACAATGGCCAAATTTAATGCCGTTGAAGAGGAGCGTATACAAGCAGCCATTACAGCTATTCGCGAAGACCCGGAGTTGTCAATCGCAGCGGCGGCTCGTCAGCACTCTGTACCACGTCGGAAGCTCTCTCAGAGGATCTCTGGCAGAGCCTCGTTGAAAGAGCGTGCCAGCCACGGCCACAAGCTCTCTTGGGACCAGGAAAAGGCGATTTGCAATTATATTGACCGTCTGGATCGAATTAACCTACCCGTGAGGCGAGAGCTGGTCGTCAGCGCTGCCAATTACCCACTTGCCGAGTCGTGGGACCCGCCAGTTGAATCCAATGCCAAGAGCCCTCCTCCTCCTCCAACTATCAACTCCCAATGGGCCAGTCGATTTATCAAAAGGCATAAGTACTCTCTGGTCAAGGAGAAAGTGCTGGACGCTGAGCGGCGCAAATCTGAAGACAAGAATGCCATCAACTCTTACTTTCTCAAGCTGAAAGAGGTCGTCGAGGAGTATGGGATCCAGCCATGTGATATATGGAATATGGACGAGACTGGGTTCCAAATTGGGGTTGGGAAATCCAGCATAGTGATTACGAAGAGACGCAGAGCTCACTACTTCGCCCTTCCAACCAACAGAGAGTCGGCCACTGCCGTGGAGGCCATCTCTGCCGCTGGAGATTACGTGCCAGCCTTCCTCATCCTTAGCGGCTCTGTTCACATGGCCAGGTGGTATGGTATCAAAGAGCTCGACTCTGATACCGTCATAGGAGTCTCACCCACTGGGTATACGAATGATATGATGACCTTGGATTGGATCAAACACTTCGACACTCACACGAGGGCTCGAACCAGAGGAGCAAAGAGACTCTTACTTATGGATGGGTATGGATCTCACCATACTATCGAATTCATTAAGTACTGCAATGAGAACGACATAATCCCATTCGGATTTCCACCACACAGCACCCATATCCTCCAACCTCTCGATGTTGTGGTGTTCCAGCCCCTTAAGCATTACCACGCTAAGGCACTTGACCTCGTGGTTCGAGAAGGCTGTACCAACATTACCAAACTAGAATTCCTCGGGTTTATACAGTCTGTTCGCAAGCAGGCATTCAAACATTCCACAATCCTTTCAGCCTTCAAGAAGACTGGCATCTACCCATACAATCCACAAGTCGTGCTCGAGAAGATCCGTGATCGTGGCCACGATTCTCAACCAACTACACCACCTTTCCAGGGGCCAGGTTCATCGCCATTCGCCACACCTACCACCATTCGGAAGCTCCGTCGCGTGGCCTGGCGTCTACAGAATGATATGAACGACCTCAACAGGGAGATTCAGCAGCTGACTGGCGAGGCCTCCCCGCTTGAGCGGAATCTCGGGCGGTTTGTTCGAGGAGCACTTACACAGGGGTCAGAGCTGCTCCAGACGAAAAGAGACCTCGGGCTGACCCAGCTTGCCCAACAGGTCAGCAGAGCCCGTAGGCAGGGCAAGAATAGTCAACTGCAGACAGGGGGCATCATCACAGTCAAGGACGGTCGACGTATGGTCGAACGGAGGCAGGCATCTGAGATCGCCAAGGCGGTAGCTCTCGTGGAGGCGGCCAACGCGAGGATCCGTTCTGCTATCAAAAAAGGGGCTTCCGAGGCAGGAAAAAAAGCCAGGAGGATGAGGAATAGTGGCCAATTACACCCTGCGTACCTAGTCGACGGTCCAGGCAACGGGCGGCTGTTGAAAAGGGTGTAGTTGAGGCTGTAGTATAATGGTGTAATTACGACGATTATCTGGCCGTTTGGGCGATGCGGCCGTTTGGCTGAAAAGCACCCACTTTAGTGGGTGGTGAGTGTCGAATGCCCATTAAAGTGGGGGCGGGCACGAGTATCACTTGGCTAGCTAGCTTTCCGATTTCGGGTTTCGCGTGATGTGCAAAAAATGAAACTTTCTTTAGACCACTTTAATGTCTGTTCCAAGTCAGATACTCCGTACACAACAAACAAAGCCCAGCGGGAAGGAGGTAGTTAGAGTAACAAAAGGCAGTGAAAAGCAAAAGATTCCGAAACCGAGAATCGAACTCGGGGCTATGCCTAACCTCTCACGGAGATGAGAGGGCATCATGTTGGCCACTACACCATATCGGATGTTGCTAAAATTTCAGCACGAGTTGGACAATAGGAATGGTGCGTAGAATGACTGGAGACAGCCCCGGTGAATGTGGAGATATCTGCGTGGATTCCGAGCCGTTGAGTGGCTCTTCTTTATGTCGACTAGCTAGATGCCTGCGGGTTTCCGTTCAGAGTGGGCGGCTGCCCCGTTTGGGGGGTTAATCGAGGGTTCGAGGTCTGGTTCCTGAATCATTCGAGCAGCTCATTCTGGGCTAAGGTAGAGAGAAGCCGTTTTCGCATTCGTGAATTAGCACGAGGTATTGCTATAAATTTGCGTCAATACCGCTAGTCAAAGCTTAAAAGGACTCGGTGGAGCCGGCCAAGTCATTTGCACCGTTAACTGTCAACGTCAAAGTTTCCTTCTATATTAATAATAATCTCCTTCACTGTGTAGTCCGGCATTCTGCTCCCGACCCTTGAGAGCTAGTGCGCCCGTGGCTACCATCAGCGGTCGCTGCGGGTGTCATGACACTTACACGGTAACCGGGGCCTGTGAAGGATGCGGAACTTTGCCTGGTTCGGCACTCGTAAATGCCCGCCATCTCGACTTCAGGGTCGTCCGGCCGTAACGGCGCAGGTTCTCTAAGAGAGATTATGGCCCTGGGCAATGTTGTGGGAGGAGTAAATCAATAAATACAGCTGTGAGTCTCGGAGAACACGCTTGCATCCTCTCTTCCTGAGTCTTTCCCACTACGTGCCGCATAGCCAACCAATCTCTAATACGGCGTGCGCTTGTCAGTACCACCCAGTTCAACTACAGTCATTCGTTACCCTTTCCATTTTCACGTCATGAAGTTCAACCAGCTCGCCTCGCCCGCCTGGGCTCTCCTGCTCTCCCAAGCCGCAGCGAAGCCCTACATCGAGTCCAAGATCGACGTCGACGTCGCCATCATCGGCGGCGGCAGCGCCGGCATCCACGCCGCGATCCAGCTCAAGGACGCCGGCGCAAAGATCGCAGTCATCGAGAAGAAGTCCCAGATTGGTGGCCACGCGGAGACTTATATCAACCCGCAGACCAAGATTCCGGCCAACGTCGGTGTCGTCCTCCTCGAGAACCAGGAAATTGTCAGCAACTACTTCTCCCGCCTCAACGTCTCGACCATCAAGGCCAACCCGCTCACCAGCGCCACCACCGGCGCGTCAAAGAGCTACGACTTCTCCCTCGGGTTTCCTATTCCGGCGCAGAACGCCTCTGCCACGGCCGGGCAGCAACAGGCGCTCCAGGCTGCCGCGCAGGCCTACTCGACCAACGTGTTAGCCAAGTACCCCTGGATCGACCAGGGCTTCCTCGTTCCCGACCCCGTGCCGGAGGAGCTCACGCTCCCCTTTGCGGAGCTCGCTCAAAAGTACAACTTCACGGCGCTCCTGACCGTCATCGCCCAGTTCAACTGGTGGACCGGAGACATCTCAACGATCCCGGCATTGTACGGCATCAAGGGCCTCGGGCCCGGTCTGCTCCAGAGTCTCTTTGGCGAGTTCATCCTCTCCGGCAACGGTGATACCCGGGCTCTGTACGACGCCGCGGCCACGGAGCTCGGCGACAGCGTCCTACTCAACTCCGACGTCCTCAAGGTGAAGCGCGACGTCAAGATTGACGAGGACACCACCTCGAGCGTCACCGTCCTCGTCCAACAGCCAGGCCAACCCAAGAAGCTCATCCGCGCCCGCAAGCTCCTCATCGCCATTCCCCCTATCATGGAGAACGTGGCCAAGTACGACCTCAGCTCGGACGAGCACGCCCTCTTCTCCAAGTTCTCCGCCCTCGGCTACTGGGCCGGCGTCGCCACGATCCCGGGCCTGAACACCAGCCTCACCAACGTCGGCGTCCAGGACCCCTTCAACCAGCCCGTCGTCCCCGGCACGAACGGCTTCAACACGGCCGGGTCCCCCAACGACTTCCTCGTCGCCGTCGGCTTTCAGGATACAAACTACACCGAGGCGGACGCCAAGGCCGTCCTCGTCAAGAACTTGGCTACGCTGGCCGCCGTCGGTGCCGTTCCCAAGGACGCGGCGCAGACGGTCACATTCCCCTACGTCTCGGACCACAAGCCCTACAATGTCCGCGTCTCGACCGAGGAGATCAAGGGCGGGTTCTACGGGAAGCTGCTTGCTTTGGAGGGAGCGCGTAACACGTACTGGGCTGGCGCTACGTTCTCTGGCCACAACAGCGCGCTGGTGTGGTCGTTCAATGAGGGGACGGTTTTGCCAGGTCTGAAGAAGGATCTTGGTCTGTAGTGGAAATACACTCTTACTAGCATGGCGAAGGAGGCTGGAAGCTTGAAATGGGCATATTAGAGCCTTGGCCCCCAGCCTACATAGAAAAATCATCTCAGTATCAATTTCTGCGCCAATCTGATAGCTCTTCCAGGATTAGGTGAAATGATAATCGCGTGATTTGTAAGTCCATCGCCCTAGCTGTGACAAAGAAGTCAATTACAACCCTCCATGCGCTCTGGTCCACGGGGTGATATCGGATTCGGAGCCCAGATCATGCTTTGGACCCGGAGTTGACTTGAATATGCTTCGCGTCAGATTTCTGGGCTACGTTCGTGTGCGAGATATCTGTGTCGCTTTCCAGGCCAGATACTTCACCTGGGAGTCGGTCCCCAACGAGGAGGGCAGCCCAGGTCGTCGCTGGTGCTCCTATGTAGAATACGACGACAGATATAACCAAGTTCGTCATCAAGGAGGCACTGCGGACAGAGCCGACAGCATAGGCCAGGGCCGACCCCAACGATTCTCCAGAGCAGAGGACACCCATCGACAAAGCAATGGTGTCCGCTTCAACGTCAAATGTCCCGAGAGTCCAATAGAGCCAGACGCTGACATTCTCATAGGCAATACTAAAACGATTTGTTAGCTGTTGGTATTCCTTTCACAGTGAATTTGGTTCGAACCGTAGGGTCCTGGGGGTGACGAAGTATCAATATCTCTGTATTGATTGATTCTGCGTAATGTGTAAAAGGGAGATTCCAACCGTAGGTTGGTTGGGTAGTCGCGGTCTAATTGTACCACCTCGAGGTGGTCCATGCTCTTGCCCTTATCCGCGGTCGAATTGGACTTCCAATCCGACATTAGCATTCATCGCCATGGTTGATTTGGAGGTCAGTGAGTAGAACTCTTACTGGTAGAGAATGAAGATTGCAACTCCCTCGCCGAAGCTCTCGCTGATCCAGTCAATTTCTCCAGGACTCTCTCTTGCCCATCGCTCCTGGACGACCAGATTCCAGATCCAAACAAGTGTGAAGAGAGTCAATAAGAAATACCAGCTCCAACGCGCTTCGGTAGTTCTCTTCAAGTGTTTTGAATCAAGCCACCAGCCGGCAAGAACATTGGATATCGCGCCGACAACAGCGATGATGAAACCGGCTAGTGTACGAGCACGAACTGTAAAATACGCAGCCATGTAGTTCCCTTGGTATGTGACGCCCCACTGCGCGGTGACGAAGGCCGGAATGAGAAGCAAGACCTCTTTCCGCTTGAACTGCGCGAGAAAGCCCCTGAACTGCGTCTTGAACGATCGCTGAGAGTTTGCAAAGATGGGCTTCTTTCCGTCTTTACGGGTCAGCTTGTCAGGCGGTGCCAACAGTAGTGAAAGTGGCAGCCCCAAGCACTGGATTGCAACGAGAACCAGGTAAGTTGAAGGAGAGATGGCGCCGGTTGTGTTGCTGTCTTTGTTGATGGCGAGTTGAATCGCGGTGGCGATGATGGATCCGAGTTTCCCAAGTGCCATCCAAATACTAACTGTGCGAGAATTAGCAATGAGGGAGGGGGACTCGGAGACTCCTTCGAGGCCTCTCAAAGTCTCGAGATGGGTTGTGAAGGTTTCGAAGAAGAAGAAAGAGAAAAACCTACTACAAACACCACGACGAGCGACTTCGGGATAGCCTACGGCTATGGCGGCTTCACCTGGCCACAGTGCTGATGCCTACTTCAAATCAGAAACATCTCACCGTCAATGTGACGGGGGGGAACCAACTGATATCCCACACGTAACAGCACCGAAGGTAAGAAACCACTGAGTTCCCCAAATCGAGTTGCAATATAGGGCAGCGGAGTACGGCACATAGCCCAGAGTTCCCACGGCCACAATCCACTTCATGCCAATCAAGTTTCCGATCATACTTGCCAGCTGTGACAGCACAATCATAATTCTAAGCTATCAGCTACGCGGACACAAAAGCTTTAGAATAGTATGAAATCAACTCACACGAAGGTGATGACATTTACGGCATTGATGACGTGTGGCTCAGCCTGACCAATGGCACCCAAGTCTGAAGATATTACATGTAATCAGCAATAGTTTACCAAAATAATTATTCTTAACAGCTTACTGTTCATTGCCGTCCATATTCCGGGTTGAGTGAAGCTGATGAGACCTAGCAAGACAGCTTGAAATACCGTTCCGCGAAAAACATCGTGGGCCTTGCTTTTGGCCTTCGGCGTCTGCAGGCTATGTTCAGACATGATCGAGAATCCCGGCACAAGTGGAGGAAGGAATGTGTCTTAATTCAATGACTCGAAGCTGCATCTGAAAGAATTGCGCTTTCTTTTATAAGCCGGCCAAAAACCACTTCAAGACAGTCTCATCTGCGCGATAACGGCATTGCGTTGTGGCAGGTCTTGATGGTACAACGCGCCAAGTGGATGCAACTCTACGAACAAGATCCTCAACGCCCTTGAGAGCCGCATGGAAGTTTCCCATCCACTTTCCAATGCTACACATTCCAGGCAAGAAAGTGGGAACTTGAAGACGATAACACTGACCACATTGCTGCTAGACATGGGTTATTTCCCGATATCTTTCCGGAAGGTCGTCACGCCATAGCCCTCGTCAGATTGGATCTACTCTGGCCCCATCAGCGGACTAGAGAGTCTTAACCTGACAGATGTCCAACTGTATGAGTGGAAGGTTTTACAGAAGTCCGATCAAGATGTGTCTGATGTTTCTCAAGTGACAAGTAGACTGCCAGGATAGTTGGATATGGCTTCACGTACAATGCCTAGTACAGGCAACCCTAGCAGGATTGCATGCAGGCACAAATCCTGGCATAGAGGTTTGGATTTGGAATGATTCACAAGTTGAAATCTTCGCTGCACTTTCATGATGAGTTCTTTGGTTGAACAACTGAAAGCATGCTTCTCAAAGAATGGTTTGCATTATTAACCTCAATACTCCAAACCACATTTATCCTAGTACTCCATCGGGGTTTTGAGATGGAAGTTCATTATGCTTTTATAGATAGATGTAGCAGAACGGAGTATCGTCAACCGTGTTCAACAGCTCCTTGATAGGGCGGTCTTGTGCCAAGACGCTCATTTCAACTATGTCCTCCTTCGTGGCATCACGGCTCGGTGGCAGATTGAGAATCGTGATGGTTCCAGCAATTTCAAAAGCCTCCCAAAGGTGAAGGGCCTGCCAGATCCAGTAAACGCGGTCGACCATGGCATGATGGAGGAAGAAGGACGGATCGGTCGGGGAGGAGTAGAGATCACTAGCATCTCCATTTGCGACGAAGTGGCCTGAAGCGTGTATGCCTGCGATTGAAATATTAGTCTCAAATTCCGTTGTCTCGGTAACTCGTCGCACATACCCAAGAAGCCATCCCAGAAGCGACCCTGGAGTTCATTTTGGAATGTGGAAATATTCTTAGAAGCTTGGCCAACAGTGACGTTGAGCAGATTGGGAGTCGTCAACCAAGTAGACGCTGTGTATGAGCTCAAGTCGCGGCGCAAACAACGTGGGTTGTACTCCATTGGACCATTGGGGTTGGGATCCATGCCATCCATGCCGGGAGATACTGGGCCGAGATTGACAGTCATGCTATATGCTGTCAGATCAACCCTTTCAAGAAGTTGAGGATGTTACTTACTTCACGAGAGGGCCGCTCGTGACACAGCCGCCGCCATTTCCAGACGGTACTGCAATCTCGCCGTATGGAGAAGCACTCACGCTACCATTGTGAGCAACGTAGGCACCATCGCCGCTCAGGCTGGTGTCACTCCCGTCATAGACTGGAGACTTGCGCGGATCATCAGTGTGAGCGAACCAGTTCCAGTAAGGCTGGGTTCCCTTGTAACCACACTCGGTTTTCAAAGCATTTTCGTACGCCCAGGTAAAATACCTATGCCATGTCAAGAAGTTGCCTGTACCGTGGATGGTACGAGTCTGGTTGATATGAACGGCAACGAAGTCGTCATATCGGTTGCGGGCTCCGGGTGCGAACGATGGGTCGGACTTGGAAGGAGACGTCAACATGCACTGAACGGCACTGATGTACTCCTTGCGCTCCGCGGTAGAGAAAGCAGCCCTAAGCCAAGATGTCAGATGCGTGCCCTAATCCTAGCCATTCGTCTTACAAGAAAGGCTTGAAGCAATTATGAGACAAGGTAGGACCTACCAATCCCTGCGAACACTAGCGTTGAAAAGGTTGCAACCACGCTTGGAAATGGTCCCATTGGCCTCAGCAGCCTTCAAACTCTCCATGGCCTGTGCTTGCAGGTCTGCGAGCACATCTCCGGCGTCACGAGCCTCGAGAGGGGTGTCGAGGGGAGCGCCGTAGGCGACAACCGCCAAGCCAAGGACGGCTGTGATCTTGACGGGAATCATCGTGTTCGGCTAAATCCTGCTTTTGATGAAAGGAGGTTCCAGATGCAAGCTTCCGCTTCAGGAGGGGAAAGAGATCTGCAAGGGCAGCGGAGCGAGGGTGGGTGAGAAAAAGGAACAGAGAAACGTGGCATTTGAGAATGTGGACGGCTTCTATATACACCGAGGCACGCTCCCACCGGTGAAGAGCGTTCCCGTCACTGCCGGATGTAATTTTAACATATTGATACGAGTCCACTTGGCGAGCGAATCCATCGCCACAGTTGACCAAATTCGTAGAGTTACTCAAGTGTTGGTCAACATCTTGCATGTGGATGTCATAAGGCCTATGGAAAGGCTCGATTTCTCGGCACTTCGGTGGTGATATCTGAACTAGGCAAGTCGTCCTCGTTACTGACCCCTGACCCTTGAATTCAAGCCCGCGTCTTGACATCGAGGAAGTCAAGGACGCCATTGCCCTCACTCACCCCACGGCCTGCATGGATTTGATACAGTCTGAGTGTGCGAATGATGCTCTGGAGGCTGATGGAAAAGTTCTCAAAGTCCCGAACACGCAAGCCAGTCCATATCGAGGAGTCAGGACCACCCCTCTGAGCTTCTGAGGAAGCTTCGAAGATGAGTTGCAAGTCTGCAAGTTGCAACGAGGGCCCCCGCCCCCGCTCGTCAGAATGTCACATCATCTTAGCTCCAACGTTCCAACCCATGCAGGGGCTCCACAGTCTGTCAACATTAGATGTTAGTTCCAACAGAAACGCTAGGGGAGTTCGGGGAACATGCCCTACAACGGCCCGCATCACACCACCAGGCATGGATCTAGTGCGTCAGGATCGGATATGGCTGCGGTTGCGGTTGCGGTTGAAGACCGTCGACGAATGACTTTTCTCACTTCTTTCCTTACCCCTGGCCCCCAAGCCTCCATTGCCCTGGCTCGACGAGTCGACTTACATCCCGCATTTAGTAGAGAATTGCTCACATGAAAGTCTTTTACCCGCGATCCCTGGGGAAAAGATCATCTAACACGGTTCATTTACCTCAAAGAGACATCAAACAGTGGAGCAACTGCGTCTCTCGCCTCAATCACTTTTCCGCCAAGTTGATTTCCCCTGATCTTTCGGACATTCGTACATCGCATTGGGAAATGATATCGTGCTTCTTGTTGACCGAGAGGCTGGCGATTGGCATGGGCCGGCCTTGGTGGCTTTCCAAAAGACTCGGCGGCATATAGTGTAGGCAGACATACATGCAGCCAAGGCTGCAAAACTTGGTGAAGGAAATAAATCCTCACAGCCCAACTTGAGCGATGGGTGTTTCGACGGAATCTCGCCGCAGTCTCGCAGCCCAAGTTCCACTGATCCCTGGAAGTTGACGAAAAATAGTAACGAGTATCACTTAACCTCCAGTTCAAGTTGGAACAGACTTCTTCGGTGGCAAGTTGTCCGGGGAGAATTTTCACTAGATCGTCCTTAGTAAACTTGAAGGAAACGAGGAAAGAAAAGCAAGTGAATAGCTTCAAGAGTATTCAGGCTCATTCGCCGTTTTCATCTTGACTGTGTATATTAGACATGAATTTCACACAACTCACTCATGCAAGGGAAACTCAACATCCGAAGGGCTCGGGTGGCCAGGGGACGACACACTTTTCTGTGCCGCAGCGATGCCGTTGACTAACAGTAGTGCAGATTTCATCCCACCGGATGCCTGATTTCTCGATGAAGACGGCTGCAGGAGTGAGCTCGCCACATCAGAGCCATGTTTATGAAATTTCACGCTCTGAAGAGGCAGGTGGACTTCAAACCCCCTTGACACCTAAAGTGAATGGAACGTAGGTGGACGAGCAACTCGCATCATTTCAGTTCCCGTACCAATGATTGCTGTGAGACGACCGTGGTACGCTTTTGGCTTCTGCTTTGCTTCCTGTCTTCACAGATAGCAAACTGATTCTTACATGTTGCATGTGAGTATTCATGATATGAACTCATGACTCGCTCTTCTATCCGGGATTGCTTTCTCTCTATCATCTATGTATTCAGCTTCTTACTTTGCCTGGTATCGGTGTACGTCTTGTTTAGCTATAATCGGCCACAATGTCCTCAGCTGCACCACCTACCACGCCCCTTGACCCGGAATGGGCCAAAGAGAGCAATACCGCCATGATTGTTGGCGTCACTGGTGGCTTCCACGCTCTTGCTCTGCTTTTTGTTGGCCTTCGCGTGTACACCCGTGCAGCCATCGTCAAAGTTATGGGAAGAGACGACTACGTTGCCATCGCATCTGTGGTACGTCTCCTTGTGTCCAGCTTTTGTCCTTAGGGTTGAGAAATATTGATTTTTGGAAGCTCTGTGCTGTGGCAGGCATGACAATCTTTTCAGTGCAATCCTTCTACGGTCTTGGGAAGCACACACTTACCATCCCTGCCGAGAACATGGTCATCATGAGAAAGTCAAGCTTCTTCCAGTCGATTATATCTTCCATCGCTGGTTTGGCATTGCTGAAAGTATCGATTGGCCTCTCTCTCCTCCGGCTCAGTAGGAGTATCTGGTACTCGAGATCTCTTTGGGCATTGATTGGTAAGTGCCTACCTCGAATTGTGACTGACCAGACACAAGACCCCACAAACGATGCTTTGCTGATTGCGACTACCCACAGTCTTTGTGTCTGCCTACAGTTTCGTGGCCTGGATGACGTTCTTCTTCTACTGTCAGCCACTGGAAGGCTATTGGGACAAGAGTTTGAAACCCAAATGCTACCCAATCACTCTCTTCATCAAATTCGGCTTGATCAATACTGCCTTCAACATCTTCACTGATGTATGCTTCGCTACACTTCCTGTGAGCATCATCTGGACGTTGCAGATGAAGCTGAGGACACGGATATATCTCATCATTGTTCTCAGTCTTGGTTACTTGTGTGTTGAACCCCAATTGAGGTGTCGCTTTCTGCGCTAAGTGTTCACAGTGCGGTAGCTATGGGTGTCATCAAGTCAGTCTACCAAATAGCCTATGGGAAAGACATGGACAAGACTTTGTAAGTCGCATAGAGCTATCACCTCGCATAGAGCTATCACCTCGCAAGTGTTCCCAACTAACAACTACAAAGTTACCAGAGTATCCAATTCTGGGAATTGTAAGCTTCTTTCCTTAACTATCATCTGCTTTCTTCAATACTAAATCGTCATAGCTTACAACTTAACCTCGGAATCATCGCCGCTTGCGCACCATCTTTGAAGCCTCTTGTCGGTCATGCCCTCAAAATCTCATCGAGCGACCGTTACCATGGCGAATTGTACGAGAACAGAAGGCCGGCCGGAACAAATACCTCGAAGCGCCGCCAGGGTTACAGAGTGCATGACAGCCAAGTTGAATACGAGATGCATAGCCGACCTCTTGCTGGACCTCCTGAGGTACCGCGCAGCGCCGGTAGTGACCTACATCGAAGCCCATATGAGAAAGACGGCGCTAGGGGGTCTGGAAGCGAGGACATGATCCTCCAGGATGATAAAGGACAGGGGATTATGCGGACCACAGAAATATCGATAAAGCGATGAGTTGAGAGACCCAAATTTCTAGCGTTCGAATAGTTTGGTATCCTCCTAATACTTCTGAACGGATCACCACTGGAACTGCCCACCATTCCTCTGAAGAAACTTGCCAACCTCACCATCTCTCTTGCCCTCAACAATCTCGAGAATGCCCTGCGCGCTGGTTTCCGAACTCTCAGCACCTCCATCAATTCTGTTCTGCCTGTCACCTTCACCCGTAAGATTGGTGACGACCCATCCAGGGCAGAAGGCCCAGACTTTTGCGCCCCAGCTATTGTAGGCCCACAGCATATGCGCCGTCGCCATGTTCAGCGCCGCCTTGGAGATGCGGTAGGCATCGCCGGGAACATCGTAAAATGCACCACCCGGAGTAGTGCGTCCGTGGATGGAACCGAGACCACTCGTGACGTTGATGATTCTCGCGTCCTTGGACTTCTTGAGTAGCGGTATCAGAGCCTCGGTGAGGAGCAATGCGCTAGCTGCGTTGGTGTTGAAAGTGTCGATCAGCTCAGACCGGCGATCCTTGGGTTGTGTAATGACAATGCCGGCGTTGTTGACGAGGACGTCGAGGACGCCAAAGTCGGCGGTGAGCTTCTCAACCGCCGCCTTGATGGAGTCGTCGGAAGTGATGTCGAGCTCCAAGAGGCTCACAGTGCCGGCCGGCTTCCGGGCCTGGAGATCTTCCACGGCCTTGGCGCCCCGCTCCGCGCTACGGGAGCCGACGACGACGTGATTGTCGGGGGATGCGGAGACCAAAGCCCAGGTGCTGTCGAAGCCAATGCCCTGGTTTGCACCTGAATTCTGTTAGCTCTGATTCCGATTGTTGACTACCTTAGTGGCATGTATGCTTTCATCATGAGCAAGAACTAACCAGTGATGAGAATGATCTTCTTAGAAGACATGTTGAGATACAATGTTGGTACGTGGAGTATTGCGAGTAGTAATAGAGATGCGATGTGCTTGTCCTCTGTTATGGATTCCATTGATGAATACCTTTGAGTTGTATTTATAGTCTCAATGCAAACAGAAGTGTTGAAGCTCTTCCGCTTGCATTCCTCGGAAACCGGTGAAGTGTCGTGGTTTCTCCGTCCGTTAAAGCCATAAAGTCCGGAATTAGAAATCTAGAGACAGGCAACCAGGCTGCTCCGACTGCAAAGTCTAACGTTATGCACCAATCGTAACTGTTGGTTCACGGGGTCGTATACGACAAATAGTGGTAGCAATTATCACTCGTCTGTTGGTGATCCTATTGCTTGTTCTTCTTGTTGTTCTATCTTACATTGTAGGCAGGAGTCGGTCGAAGTAGGTAGTGACGGCCTGGGTGGTTGCCCCACCTTTATCCGGCCGTGATGACTAAGCCAGTTGTCCCACTTCGCCCAGGGCAGGTGCCAGCCAGCCCATGTGTTACGCCCGCCGCAACTTGTCACTGTGGGCGCGTATCTATATAATGCAGAACAAGGGACAATGATGCCGGAGTTGTGGCAGGTGCAGGTGGGTCACGTGAGGCAGCTCCTTCACATCTCGGAGCTGCCCCACCTACACCTTGCCCAGATATCCAGCCCAGCCAGCGCTCAGCTTTTCCCATCATCATCATCAGATCCAATACAGTAGTATTGCCTCCACAGGTTATGAGAGCCCAGCGTTGACTCTTTTTCTTTTTACCCCATATGAATTGATCGCCCAGCTCTGCGTAGAGCCCGTTCAATTGAGCAGTTACTAATCTGTCGACCAGAGATCGCGGCGTCGCGACTGGCAACGGCAGAGGTACAGATTCCTCAAAAAAAAAAAACAATAACAGACGCGACCGTACAGGCCGTCTACACCTATACACACACTATCACGAATCTTTCACCTCCATCGTCATCATGGCTGGCAACCGCGCCCGCTGGGAGGTGCCCGACCTCAAGGGAGAAGAAAATTGGGACCAATGGTACGCAGTACTGCATCTCACCCTTGAGACTCTCGATTACGAGAAGTACGTCGATGAAGACGTCTCTCAACCCCATCGCGATGATCCTATCACTCCAGCGCAGGCTGTGGCCTTCACTACTTGGAAGAGCCAGCGCATTGAAACGTACGGCATCATCATCGCATCAATCAGCAAAGTCCTCGATCGTCTCCTCGCTGATGGATACGACATCAAGACGGCTGACCGCAACCCCTTCCTTCTCATGAACAAATTGAAGACCATCATCCCCAAGATTTCAGAGGATGCCGTCGCCGAGCTCGTTCGAGAGCTCTGCAACCTCAAGCGAAAGGACTTCTCAGATACTCATAAGTATCTCCAGCGTGGCCAGTATCTCATTCGTCGTATCGATGAGCTGGTCCCCTCTTGGCACAAGAAAGCCATGTTCATCCTACTCAACGGATGCCAACAAGAATATCCAGCACTTTACGACAAGTACGTCGAGGACAACACCAAGACCCTTGAAGATCTCACACGCGATCTCACATTCAAGGCCAATGCCGAAAGGACTGCTTCACTCAATGCCGCGAAGGGCTACGTCGCCGTTGGAAACAACAGCAACGGCAACAACAAGGCCTCCGGTAACACCTCAAACAACAATCAGCGACCTAACAACAACTACAATGGTCCTGACTGCCAACACTGCGGCAAGAAACATGCGACTACCTCTTGCTGGGTCGCCCATCCCGACCTCATCCCGTCCAACCATAAGTACCGTGAGAACCTGCTCAAGAAAGCTGCTGCTCATACTTGTACCTCCGAATGCCGGGAGGGTAAGGCAGTCGCGGTCAAGGCTACGCCGAACGTTCTCCACCAGAACACAATGGGACATACAGTCTTGCCGTGCTCAACTTCGATGGCAACGGGCAGAATTAACCGTGACGACATTATCCTGGATTCCGGGTGCTCGCGAACCACTTTCAACAACCTCAGTTGGTTCACCTCCTTCACCGAGGCAATACTGCCACCCATGGAAGTCGCCAACGGTCAGTACGCATCGCCAGCTGGTTACGGCACGGTTTACTTCACTGCCGTTGATCCAGATGACAGCAACAAGGTGGTCGACTGGTCAATTGAGGATGTACAGTACTGCCCTGACTGCCCAGTCAACCTGCTGAGTCAAGGCACACTCCGTCAGCAGGGCTACAAGGTCAGCGACGACACTATCCACATTGGAAACAACGTCGCGATCGCCAAACTCGATTGGCATAACAATGTTGCCGTTATCGTCACCAACAACTACGAAGGCCCGAAAATTAACGCGGCCCTTAACCTTGCTATGGTAAGCAAGAATAACAACAAAGTCACATTTGACCTTATGCACAAGCGACTTTGCCACGCGGGCAAGAGCAGGGTCGTTGAAGCCTGCCGTCGTGTGGGCATAACTTTTCCTCAACAAGAAATTGACACCTTTCACTGCGAGGCTTGCCACCTAGGCAAATCTCAACAACTCATCAGCAGAGAAACCCCCATTCGAGAGGCCCAGCCCGGTCATCTCATTCACATGGACTTGGTACAATTCGAACCCTTGTCCTATACAAAGTCACGTTATCTAATTCACATGATCGACGCGCGTACAGGCTTCCAGTGGCGATACTTGCTCAAGAGCAAGCGTGCTGACGAAGTGCTTGATCGTATCGAAGAATTCATCAACTTCTTCGAAAACCAGACCAACCTTTCGATTAAGGCGTTTCAAATAGACAACGGCACCGAGCTTTTCAATGCTCTTTCGCAGGAGCTGTACACCAAACGAGGCATTAAAGTCAAATTGACTGTTGCTGACACCCCAAGCATGAATGGAAAGGCAGAGCGAGCTGGCCGGACTTTTGCAGAGGCGGCCCGAACCATGCTGATTGACGCCAACCTTCCTGATTATCTCTGGGACTATGCCGTCACCACAGTCATCACGATTGCCAACCTGTTGCCCAAAGCAACCAATCCAGGCCATCTCAGCCCCCACGAGATGCTCGCGAAAGATCTCAATCTTGACGAAGCCCATCACGTACCGTATATCCACCATATCCGCACTTTCGGCTGCGTTGCCTATCTCCACCGCAAGGGGTCATTGCAACCAGCCCGCGCCAACAAGATGGAGACAAGAGCCATCAAGGGATATCTCGTTGGATACGACTCACTTCACGGCCATCTCTTCTACGTCTACGTACCTCAAAGCCACAAGGTATACCGCTGCCGCGATGTTCGTTTCTATGAACAGGGCAAGCACCAGGACGAAGACAATGACCCAACCATTGATCACGATGCCATTTTTGCTGATCCAGACACCAGCACCTCATCTGTTGAGTATGAAGGAGCACAGAAGTCGTCCAGCACTCCTGACCGCCAGGACGAAACCACTGACAACAAGTCTGCCGAAGAGGCAACTACCCAAAACCCTCTTCCAACCCCTGAACCAGACAGCCCTATTGATCAGCAGATGTCTGCTAACATAACTGTTCAACAGCACGATACTGATACATCTTTCGATAACGCTATCGAAGAAGCTATCCAACAGGATATAGATGAAGCAACTATAGTAGTTGCCACAGAAGATCACGATCTTCAACCTACAACACAACCAACTAGACGAACTCGTCAATCTCGCCCTCCTCCAAGCCAACCAAACAGAGCCTCAACACGTGAGCATGTCAGAAACTCACAGGGCACTTGGGTCAAGAAGAGGGGCGGTTTCAGCGGTTGCTCTCTCCGAGGCAACACGTATGCCAAGTCTGATGGTTATCAACAAGCCTATGTCAGCCTTGACACAGTTGTGTGGGAAGACAACCAGCCTCCAGTATTATCTGCCATCGCCGCTGCCGCACTCGCTGGTCCAACCGTACCTCGCACTTTCAAGCAGGCCAAAGAGGGTCCTGAGTGGGACAAGTGGCAACCTGCTTTTGATAAGCAAATCAAGGCGCTACAGCAAGCCGAAGCCTGGGAACTCGTTGACCCTCCAACCGGAGAAAAGATTCTTCCTGGCCAATGGATATGCGATATCAAGTCTGACGGCAGATATCGTGCCCGATGGGTTGTCTGTGGCAACCACGCGGTATCTGACTGGTCCGCTGAACAATTGTACGCAGCTGTCGCTAATGCAACCTCTATCCGTGTTTTCTTTGCTGTTGTTGCAACCAAGACCTACATCGCAGAGTTATTCGATTACGACACAGCTTTTCTTCACGCCTCTATCCCGGACGATACCAAGGTGTACGTCCAGCAGCCCCATGGCTATCGCCAAGGAGACAAAGTCTGCCTCCTCAAGCGTGCCCTTTACGGCCACCCCATGGCACCTGTATGGTGGTTCAACAAGATCAAAGGTCACATGACTGACCTCGGTTTTCGAGCTATTGAAGGCGAAGTCTGCCTTTTTATCCATGACGAGTACAACTGCATTGTTTTGATGTATGTTGATGACAACGTCATCGCTGCTCCAGACCGGAACACTATTCGCAAAGTCAAGGATCTCCTTAAGTCATTTGTCAGCATGAAAGAACTGGGAGACGTTCAGAGATTCCTAGGTTACGAAGTCTGTCGCAATGAGAGAGCCAAGACCCTACACCTATCACAAGCCGAATTCTGTCGCAGGATGCTTCAGAAGTTCGGATACGTGGACCTCCATCCAGTCCGCACACCAATGGATCACAATATCGTCGCCAAGTGGCCAGTTGAGTATGAACCAGTTGAAACTGACCGTTGCAAGCTGTACTTGCAAATGACAGGCTCTATTAATTTCCTCTCGACCGGTACGCGCCCCGATATAACTTACGCAACTAGCAAACTCTGCGAAGCCAACAGCCGCCCTGGTGAGCACCACTTCGCAGCAATCAAGCACCTCATGAGATACCTCACTGGCACAGTCGACCTCGGCATCACCTTTGACGCTTCTATGCCTATTGATGACCTCGGACTCCATGCTGCCAGCGACGCGGCCTTTGGCGACTGTCGCCTTACCCGAGTGAGCACTGGAGGATACGTCGTTATCCTTGCCGGTGGCCCAGTGATATGGAAGTCGAAGAAACAGACTTACGTCACAACCAGCTCCACGGAAGCTGAATTCATTAACCTTACTCCAACGGGACTTTCGGTCCAATGGGTTCATAAGCTGCTGAGACTTCTCGGCTGCACTCAACCTCGTCCTACGGTCCTATTTACTGATTCCCGCAACGCGCTGATCAACGTAACGAATCCACTAAACCAGGCACGAACCAGGAACATCGATCTACGATACAAGTGGATCATCGATCAAGTCAAAAACGGCTTGTTCAACCTCAAACTTATCCGAACACATGACATGCCTGCTGACGGACTCACGAAGCCGTTAAATCACGAGAAGCACGCCAACTTCGTCAAAATGCTTGGCCTTACGAAAATCGCTTGCAAATGAGCATATAGATATCCTTATACCCGACCGAACAAACAAGGGATAAAGGATTATTTGGCTCAGGCACAGGACGGAGGATATAGGCGGAGCATGGGATACAGCGGAGGACTAATTGGGATTGTCGGTATTTGAGCCTGCTTCTCACATGTACGATAGTTTTCACTGTGGCTGGCCTGAGGGGCGGTGTGGCAGGTGCAGGTGGGTCACGTGAGGCAGCTCCTTCACATCTCGGAGCTGCCCCACCTACACCTTGCCCAGATATCCAGCCCAGCCAGCGCTCAGCTTTTCCCATCATCATCATCAGATCCAATACAGTAGTATTGCCTCCACAGGAGTCGTCATTATCGAAGCTTTTGCTTTGTGCCACAGTTGGTTGCCTTGTCCAGCTCGTAACACCATGGTACCTGCCTATTACTCCTTATCAGCCTTTGCTGTTCCAACAATAAGATATCTCTTAATTAGGTAGGTCTTTGTTGCTATATTTGCAGCCTTAGACCTTTACGTATATAGGTCATAACCCTAGGCCTTGTGTCTCTATTGTTCCAGAAATTAACTGGTACATAAGAGTTATAGCCTGGGTATATATTGATTTATATCTTATCTCTATAGCCTATCCAGGGCTCCTGGATCAGTACTATATCGATCTGATCCGCCCAGCAGAGCTCTAGGAGAGCTGTATGAGCTGGGCTTCTCTTCCCCACGTTACACTGGGCGACTCGTAGTACCCGTGGGGAGGCTGGCCTGAGCCTACTGCTCTGAGTCGAGGTCGAGGTGGGTGTAGGCATTAATAACGTTGCAATCAGGCTTCTGCGCCACCCGCTGAGCCCTGCTTCTTGAGGTAGCTAGGGTAGGTTGGCTGGGTAGGGGGGGTAGGACTGGGTCGTCAGGGGCTTGGAGCCCTTCTGCTTCAGCCCCATTCTCATCTTCATCCATGCTGCTACAGCTAGCCGCATCACTAGCGTCCGCTACAACAATTGAGTCCTGGGTAGGGGTAGGGGCGCGTGGGCGCTTTGAGCCGGGCTGATGGCTCGTTAGGCTGTTGCTAGGTTGCTGGGTGTTGCTGGCTTGGGTGCCAGCCTGGCTGCTCTGATAGAGGGCCTCATAGGCCTTCTGACCAGCCTTTCGGATCCGGGAGAGTTCCTTCCGGTCTGGGAGGGTAGGGGAGCCATTAACCACTAGGGCCCTTGCTGGACAGTCCTTATGGTTAGCTTGGAAGGGGCCGGAGCAGTTGGCGCACTTCGGTCTAGCTATGCAGGGCCCAGTCTCGTGGGATCCCGAGGGCCTGCTACAGTTGCTACAGAGTGGCTGTCGGTTACAGTATCGGTTCGAATGATATCCCTGGCATCCAGGGTCATGTCTGATTAGGGTCTTCTTCTTTTGGATAAGCTGAGACCTGCTGCTTTGGTTAAACAGTCTGAAGGGTGGTACTTCCACAGAGAAGGAGATGACCCAGGAGACTTCGTTTATAATAGGGTTTACACCTAGCCGGGACTGCTGGGCCCGGGTAGGCTTACGTCCTGTTTGGGCAAGGACCTCATCTTCTACCAGAGTAGCTGGGTCAAGGGCGTCGCCATCAAGAGTCCATGTCTTAGCAGGGCAACGTGGGACGACGTAGGTAAACCACTTAGTAGGGGTCTCAACCTTATAGGCTCTAAGACACTCTGCTAGTTTCTGTTTGTTTGCAAGGAGGGCTTGCTGGACCTGCTTATTCAGGGGTCTCAGTGAGTAGCCAGTTGCAATATGGTAGATGTGTGGGATATCTGCCAGCTGGAGCCTAAGGGCCTGGCAGACTGTCCGGCGTAGGGCGAAGGGGGCGTGCTTCCTAGCAGCCGCTAGGCCCTCTTCTGGGATACGGGTAAAGACCCGGAGGTCCTCCTTCGGTTGGGATAGAGCCTGGGCCCGGGTCTCCGTCAGACTCTGTGTCTGGACATCGGGCCGGGTGGGGATACGGGTACGGGTCGGGGCTACGGCCACGGCTGTAGTTGAAGCCGAGGCTGTTACGTCAGTCCATTTCCGGCTCGGAGCCGGAGCCGTAGTCTCGTTACCCATAATCCTCTTCAAGGCTTGGATTACATAGGTTGTAGCTTCTTTTGCAATCTGCTTCCTAGGCCCCTCAAAGCAAGAGATCACGTTGTCCACAGACTGAGCAATAGCCATAAAGACGTCCTTTCGGGCTTCATAGTGCTTAGCCTCTTCATTAAGAGCTGTAAGGACAGCTCCAGTAGCTGTCCCAGTCATAGTCGAGGGCCCCTTAGCCGTTAAGGGGGTTGTTGTTGGGGCGTCGGGCTGGCTTCCCACGAGACTGGGCCGGAGTGGCTGGGCCTCGGTTTCGCGGCGGCGTTTAGCCCTTGAGGATGGGGGCGGCTCAGAAGAGGGTCCAGAGCCTCGATCAGGGCCGGCCGAGGAGGCCGGCAACGGTCCAGAGCCCGCCGGAGGCTGCGAGGCCATCGCGGGAGAGCGCCGGAGGAGAGGGGAAGGGTTTTCAGCTGTTAAGGATTTTGGTGGTATCCCACTTATTACACTAACAGTAAATGCCAAGAAAAATTAGGCGAGAGGGAAGTTGATTGCCCGGTTCGAGTGGGAGATACCTTATATCGAACAAGAAACGAGAGCATATCGACTGCTCGAGGGTACCGGACTAGCCCCGCGGTTCCTCGCTCACATCCATGAGAATGGGCGCGTGATGGGTCTTCTGCTGGAGAAGCTGGATGGACGCTTTGCTTCCATTGAGGATCTGAACGACTGCGAGGCCGCTTTGAAGAAGCTTCACGCGCTAGGACTCGTACACGGGGATGCGAACCGATACAACTTTCTTATTATGGAAGAAGGTGTGAAGCTACTCGATTTTCATTCCTTGCAAGAAAATGCCAGCCCTGAGTCAATGAGCAAGGAGCTGGAATCGTTGTCTACGCAACTGGTCGATGAGTCAGTTCTTGGTCGCGGTTTCCGGCCAGTGGTCGATGGCATCTGATTTTGAGGTTTAAGATGTATTTCCTAGTTTGTAGATGATTAGAGACTACCTTGAATTGGACGAGATGCACGGAACGAAAAAAATTAATTATGTTGGGTATCTCGAGACGCGGAACTTCGGAAATGAAAGTCTGCTGCCTTTAGTCGACCATAGCTATTCGTTAACCCAGAATCAAATTTCAACTCCGAGCGCTTGCACTGTCTCCAGAGTAGCAGCATAAAAAGGGCTGTCATCACCCACAGCTTCCTTCTCGAGCTGCAGGCCCTTCAACGCCAGCTCCCGTCCTTCCTCTCGCTTTCCCAAGTCAAACGCTTTGCGAGCGGTAGCGATATACATCGTCGAGACCTCACGCCCGCGGATAGCCTCCGCCTCGTGAGCGTCCAATAGCGCAAGCATCATCTTGAACTCGTCCTCCGGATCCTCAGAAGCAGCTTCGGCGAAAAGCTCCAGCTTGCGCTGGATCTCCGCCCGGCGCACCTCACCAGCTTCTGAAGAGGTCGTCGAACTGCAAGCAGAGCACCCGCACGTGAAGCCGTACCCGTCATGCAACGCGGTCTGTCGGGATTGCCTCAGGCCCAAATGTTCGTCGAGGTAGGATATCGTGATTTCTTCTTCCGGCTCAATTTTTCTGGTAGCGTGAATGGTGAAAGCGTTCAAGTCCTTGTTGAAGTTTCCTTGGGCGTTGGGGACACACGAGTGGTTCAAGCGCGCAACTTGAGGAAAGAGCGCCTGGGTCTGGTTGCCAATGCTGAAGTTATTGTTCCGAAAGATATTGAGGATGGTGTGATTAGACACTATGTCTTGTGGAGCAGACTTGCTTCGCCATACTGACTCTAGCCAGCTGAAGACGCTTGACTTGCTGGGATTGGTTGATAGTGAGAGTAGTGAATTCCGGCCAGCTGTTGAGAGGAGGTGAGCTTGTCGCAGGATCGAGTTGCTGTCTGAAGAGGTGAATGTGAGTAGAGCCTGGTCAGTGAGGATTCTTTGACCTGTGAGAATTGGTCTCGAAGCAAAAACTCCGAGGCCTTTTCCGATCGCTTGTCGGACGGTAAACATTGCAGCAGGCTTGTAAGTTGACGTTGTCGCAAGCAACTATTTTGATGTGTAAGGTTTGAGTGGCCCCTGACAGAGGAAAGTATTCCATGGCCTAAAGAGGCAAGGGGGCGAATGCGGAGATTACCGATTTTAAGAACGTGTCGGGCGCCAAGGGTCCTCGCCTCTATCATTGCTCATGTATCACAGACTTGAGGTATTACCGACTTACATAGGTTCACGTAAATCATATGTCTAACCAGGCATTGGAGCTCTGCTCTTCCAAGCTTACATACGCTCATTCCAGCCCACTTGTCTCCAGTAATACCACACACCTCTACTCAGCTACCACTGGTACTTGGTCAAGCTACGGCTTGCAGATTGTAATACTCAGTACACCTCTGAATTCTAGAGAACGTCCGATAGTAGTGTTTGTATACATACCTTACTAAGACAGTGATAACTGATTTGTGTTGGGTTCTTTACCTGCCTCGATTCCGAATAGGTTTAAAGATTTTTCTCTCCGACTGAACCTGGCCGAAAGTTCCCTTTAATACAGTGCCGAGTGTCTGTAAGGTACTTTACGCACTATATCGATTGCGGCCCAAGTAAGGATGCGGTTTCCTATGCAATTAACCAACAACTTTCACCAACCAACACCACGATTTTCCATCATTACAAACCCCGCTCCTGCTCAGAATGGCTATTCAAATAGTTTCCGACCTCCATCTCGAATCTCCCAAAGCTTACGACATTTTCGAAATCGTGCCGCAAGCACCATACCTAGGCCTCCTTGGTGACATAGGGAATGTCGTGGCGCACAAAGAGGAGTGTCTCGCTTTCTTGACGCAACTTCGACAATTTCGCGCCATTCTATTCGTGCCTGGAAATCATGAAGCCTATCTGTTGGTTTGCGTGTACCACAGGTTAGTCACACAGGTATTCCTGGTATCGCGATCGGTAGCAATATCGTTGGGTTAATCTGGTGTTCTTGTTGTTGTTATTGTTGTTGATGATGATGATGATGATGATGTATTTAACGTCTGGTAACAAAAGGACGTGCCGGGCGCTGTGCCGACATGGTCTATACTAATCTAAACTATATTACAGGCTACCGTCTTCACCTAACGTTCCTGTTCAATGACTCGGGCAAATTTCGGAAAAGAAATTGGTCTCCTCTATCCATTCGCATAGAAGAGAGGCTCCCTTAGCAGAACCTAACAAGAAATCAATGCTTGCTTTGGCCATACGTTGGCGGAGGTAGCGCGGTGTAGCCTTGCGTCCACGCTTGCAGAAGTAGAAATGGACTGGTGTCTTGGGTTTCCCACAGCTGCAGTTGAGCAACGCATCTTGATGAGCGAATCTCTCGTGGTATGCTGCAAAGTCTCCATGATGGGATCTTGCTGCGTATAGCCTTCCTAGTAAGTGCCGAGGGAGGCGGAGTTCGGGCGGCTTGGGGTGAAGAATTATCTCGAGGTCGGCATATTGCCGAGGGCATTGGGATAGCCATTTTCTGGCAAAGGCTTGGAAGGTAGCTACTTTAGCTTGCCTTTCTAGGTGCGCTAATGAGGGCTGTGGTTGTGATTTTGGGATTAGTTTGCAGGCTTCCTTGGCTAGAGCATCCGCTTCTTCATTTCCTGGTACTCCCGTGTGCCCAGGGCACCACCAAACATAAACCCTGCCGGGGGTTGTCCAGCTCTCTCTTTGTCTCCGAGTCCAGGAGGAAGAGAGCCTATTGAAGGCCCTAAATCTAGCCTGGCTGCTTCCTGTGCTCTGGGAGTATAGTCTAGCCGCGACTGCGAGGTTGTCGAGGCAGATGTGGACGTTATCTGCCATACGAGCCGTAGGAGCCCGGGTGGCTTCCATCAGGCCGTGATACGCAGCATGTGCCTCCGCGTCATACACCTCAGTTTGGGACCCGAGTGGTTCGGATCCGCGGAAGATCTGCCGTGTAGCTTGGTACCCTACCCAGCCTGCTCCGGCGGAGGTGCTGCTGCCGTCCGACATCTGGGACCCGTCAGTATAGACAACAATGTCCCGCTTGGAGAAAGTTGCCATCCTGCCTGCAAAGGAGAGGGCCTGCTCTTCTTTGGTCTTATTAGGTTCGTAGCCGACCCTGGCGAGGGCTGTCTGCCAGTCCGCTAGTTGCTCCCAAGGGGGGAGTTCTAACGGATCGATGTATTCGGTATTTTTGCTTACGAGGCTTGCCATTCGTCGTAGACGTGAGTCTGGTCCTGATTTGTCCCTGAGTCTCGTTCGGAGAGGGTGTCGCTCGTCCAGACGATGGATTCTGGTGGACGCTGTGTGGAGCTTCGCGTCCAGTATCACCTCTGCTGGGGGTAGAGCCGCCTCGCGCTGTAGGATCGGTACAGGCGTAGTTCTGTATACGGGGACCATCGCTCTAATGGCTTTGGTTTGCGTCGCGTCCAGTTGGTGTAGCAGACTACCAACCCCGTTTGAGATAGTACGTCCATTCTTTATCCGGCTCTTGCCGGGCCACCATGCTTCAGATGCATAGTACTGAGTGGGTAATACACAAGAGGTGATCGCTCGACGAAGTAAGTACGTAGGCGCGCCCCAGACAGTGTTCCCTAGTCCCCGTAGTCCATTGACTACTTGGCATGCTTTTGTAGAGAGGTTTCTTACGTGACTCTTGAATGTGAGTTTACGGTCGAAGTGAACGCCGAGCCAGCGTAGAGAAGAGCCTTCTTTGATAGCCTGAACTGTATGATACCTCCCATCCGGCAAACCTACTGTGATTGATGGGTTTCCGTCTTTTCGTCTCTTAGTGAAGTGGATCAGTTCGGACTTATCGAGGTCAAAAGTGATTCCTTCCGTCGCGCCCCATCCTAAGGTTTCTTTCCATTCCTTGGTTAGGATGTCACAGTTGTTCTCTAGTGATGTTGAGCCTGCCAAGATAGCGACGTCATCGGCGTAGCCGAAACGAGATCGCTTCCTTCCTAGGCGAGCTATGCCTAGCTTGAAAAGAGGTTCAATATAGAGCATGAATAGAATGGGAGACACGGGTGAGCCTTGTGGTAGTCCGCATTCGAGACCGAAGACGTCTCCTACCTCCCCATCAAGCCTTATTCTTGCTCTCCTTCCGGTAACAAAACTTGAGACCCAGCGTACGAGGTTCTCCGGCCATCCTTGTTCGCAGAGGCGTCGGACTAGTCGTCCTGGGAGCACGGCGTCGAAAGCCCCTTTTATATCGAGCGTAAGCATAGAGGTAACCAGGCCTCTTTGCCAGGCGCACTCGATGTCGTGGATGGCCGCTGCGATGAGGTCGCTGCAAGAGCGAAGAGGGAGTGCTCCAAACTGTTGATCGTGCAGAACACGATGTTTAACTACGATCCAGGCAAGTCGTCTGGCGATGAGTCTCTCCAAGCCTTTTCCGAGGACGGCCAAGAGCGCAATTGGCCTATAGGAGCGCGGGAGTGTCTTGTCTCTTTTTCCCGGTTTTGCTAGGATCACGAGAGTTGCTTCTTTAAAACAAGTAGGATGCCAACCCTCGCGTATACACCCGCTATAAAGTGAGAGGACAATATCCTCAATAACTGGTCATGCTATTTTCAAAGCAGTCGTAGTGATTCCGTCGGTCCCAGGAGTCGTGTTTCCCGTGGTGAGAACCGAAGACCGTACCTCGTCCTTCGTAACCTGCGGGAAAGGAAGCGTAGCTTGCCTTTGTAGGACTGGGCTTTCTGTTGGTATGTCCTCGGAGATTGCAGCGTTTCTAAGGAGGACGCGGGTAAATAAGTCGCGCTTCTCTTTTGGTTGTGAGACAAGCGTGTCTTGGTTGTCTACATCTCGGAGTGGCGGGGTCTGAAAGGATCCTGTGGCTTTGTGCAACCGACCATTTAAATATGTCTTTGCTTGAGGAGGCTGAGGAGATCTTATCTTTCCAAAAGGCATCCTTGGAGCGTTTAAACTCGTAGAGGAAGTCCTGTTTTAGAGCTTCGACCTCTCTTCTTCCCATTGGCAGTTCACTCCGGCTGCGCGGAGTCTTGCTAACATCGCTCGCTTACTCGCATAGGCTCGGTGTTTACGTGTGCAGCTCTCGCTCCAGTATGGTCTCCCTGTACCTTTCCCGAGCGTGCGCTTTGTGGAAGCCGTGAGTGCTTTAATAAGACAGTCCGTAAGCTGTTGTGC